TGAAGACAGACAAGTTTACTCTGTTTGTATACTGCAATTTTCTTGTTTTACTAAGTACAACTGTATGCAGTCAAAACATAAACCAACAAAATGTAAACATAGCAGACGAAACTCTTACAGATTACAGCTTTCTCAGTAGGTATCACTAAACTAAATCAAAGAATTATTTGAAAAGACGATATCGAATTCGTCACTGAATTCCCATGTTTTTTGGGACACCCTGTATATCAATTTCTCGAGACAGGGATATCAGATAGTACTGATATTGGTCGCGATCCTAAAATGTTTGGGCTTCAGCCTATACCCCCCTTTAATTTTAGCTTATCAGTCCCTTAAAAAGAAATATTTTTTTCTTCAGGCTCTTTAATAACCTCAACCTGGGTTATAACAGCAGCTCACTGTACCCAACTGGTAGACCCTGGTTACGAGGATCAATGTGTAAAAACAACCAAATCAAAAGGATTTTTTGAATCTCAGCTCGTCAAAACTAACAATGACTCTGTAATAGGCGAAAGGTGACAAACATGGGATCGAATTATTCTTCTTGTATTAGAAGTTAGAACTTGTGTGTTGTGAATCTTGATCTCAATCTTATGCAGACCTGAGGACTAATTTAATTACGATATTCCGTGGCATGGGTGGTCATACCTCGTAGGGATACCTTTAATTAAGAGATCAAGCATTTACGCTCAAAATTAAAATGCCCACATTAGATATCGAGATTTAAAGTTCAAGAATAAAGATTCTACACAATAGTTCCGACCTCTGAAAACATAAGAAAGGTAGTCGTTGGAATAGGTTGGAATAGGTTGGAATGGGTTGGAATAGGTTGGAATAGGTTGGAATAGGTTGGAATAGGTTGGAATAGGTTGGAATAGGTTGGAATAGGTTGGTAACCTTTTGATAATATCACAATAAAGCGCACATTTTTAACTCATAGTGCCCTTAATATTTTTTTTAATGAAAAAAACACCCAACCTAGAAAACGACTAATTCGCGTTCTTGTCTGCTTTATTTACTTTTACACTTAAGAATTCATTTACCTTGTAGGATTTAATTATTTAATCTTTTATGATGAAAGATTTTAGTGTAATATCCTGAATGACTATTTTCCAAATATGCTAAGCGTGGCAATTTTTTTTTGAAAATCAATCAGGTGCCTGCTCTCTACTTGCACCCCTAATTTTTCCTGAGGGGGGGGGGCGTCGTCGTACCCCCTTAACCAACCTCTTTTCATAGACATAGGCTTGACTTAATCTAGAGTTATTAATTCTTGATCTTAATCAACATTTAGGAAAACGCCGTTTGGAAAATAGCCATTTATGAAAGAAAGTGTGTAGAAAACCTACGGTTAGAAATAGAAAACTGTGGAACAGGAAGACGACATTAAAGCAATTATTAAGTGTATTTGATGTTGTCTTAAAGCAAATAGTTTTAATTATAACTTATTAATTTCCTTATGAAGTCAAAAATGGGTCTGTTTACACATCACAACTGACGCGTCTTATGTTCATTGGACTTAAAATGCTATAATTTGACTCTAAAAGTAGTCTTTCAATTCCAGGGATTTCTGGTTCTCACTATAAACCAATATTAATATGTGCAATACATTAAGTAATTCATTTATCAATCAATAAGCAACTCGTTCTATTTCTCCGATGATATTCTTCCAACCTAGGTATTCTAAGATAAAATGCCATTACGTGAACGGGAAGGATCTCGAAATAACTCTGGTAGACCCTAAAGGATCAGTTTACATCGGAGTTTCTGATGTAAATGATAAAGAAACAATCAAAAAGGAAAATCTTATTAACATCCAGAAAATGTATCGTCACAAGTATGCATACAAAGGGAAGTACAATGACGCCTATGGCAGCTATGGTGGATATGATATTGCTCTGTTAAAACTATCCAAACCAGCAAATAAAAAATATTCTCCAGTTTGCTTGGCAACAACTACATTTGATGATTTACAACAATCCATGATTGCTGGTTACGGCAATTACTATAGAACGCCTTGTCTAACGGACGAGTATGGCCAATACAAGTATCACTACTGTGAACGACCTTCTAAGGAAAATCCTTGTATCGTTGATAAACCTCCTCCCGAGGACGAAGCCTGTGTTAACTTCTTCAAGGAAAAGAACGTTTCTATCTCTATTGACTTCCAGGAGATGGCTATAACTGCACCTGGAGAGAATATTACGTTCTGCTACCGGAACCAATCCTTAAACCCTGGATCTAAGGGCTGGTGTAAGGTTAAGAATGATTTCTACGTGATAGGAGAGAGTAGACCTGTTGATAATGGTTGGGGATTCTGCAGTAGCGACTGCTTCCTAGGAGAATCTGAACCTGAATCCCTGCTCCTGCGCCAGAAATCCAACGTGTCCGTTCTGCCGGATAGAATATGCGAGATATTCTTAAACCAGTCTATACCCCAACATGTCAAGCACATACCAAAGATACTCTGTGTTGGAAACTGGGAGAATTGGAAGACTGATTATTGGGAAAAGATTGACAACAAATACACCCGTCTTACGCAGAAGAACATGGAGAAGTACAGTAATTTTGGGGAGCAGGAAGGTATGTGTTTAATTTTTCTAAAATAATGAGTTTTCCTCAAAGAAACAAAAAAAATACAAAACATTTAAAATATTGTCAAATCGATTATTAACTGTATATTTATCAAATAAAAGTTAAAGTGCCGCGAATTACCGTGATTAATTTATATCAATAATTGATTGGATTTGTTTTACAACATATTAATAGAGTAAATAGAAACCGTCAAGAAACAACTACTGAATTAGAAACAGAACCCTTACAGGCAGACAATTAATTATTTTAATCTGCTCATGATTGTTAAAATGAGCAGTACTCAATATCATCGTTTGACAACTTTTGAAAAGCAGAAATAATCTAAATTTTTGATGAAACTTGCTTCCTTGATTAAAAGTTTACAACTCCTGAGTATGGGCTTCATAAACATTTTTGCTCAGGCTTCCATGAAAACAAAATTATCCTGAAAACAAAAAGCAGTTAACAAGGTTGACAGATTTTTTGTCAGTTTTATGCAGGCTATATATAACTGCCTTGCATCCTTGCATAAGATTACTATACAATACAAGTTACAATTCTCCTAATTTTGATGCCGCTTTATCAAATCTTTTTATTTAGATGCTGCTGTACACAATTATTTATTTAGATGCTTCTTTACACAATTATTTATTTAGATGCTGCTGTACACAATTACTCACCTAGATGCTTCTGTGCACAATTATTCACCTAGATGCTTCTGTACACAATTATTCACCTAGATGCTTCTGTACACAATTATTCACCTAGATGCTTTTGTACACAATTTTTTATTTAGATGCTTCTGTATACAATTATTCACCTAGATGCTTCTGTACACAATTATTTATTTAGACGCTTCTGTATGCAATCTTGCAATTTAGATGCTATATTTTAAACAATCTTCTTTTTTAAAAAAATCCAGATTACTTAAAGTAAAAGTACCCAGGATTCAATCCTGTAAAAAGGACATAGTTTGCTCGAAAAAAACATCCCGATCGTTAGTGCTATTGTCGGCACCTCCCGGCTCATCATGGCTAACAAGTAACAACTGGCTCAATCAAAGAAAAACTCAGAAAACCTTCAATACTTTCCTAAAATGATTATCCTGGGTTACTTCATCTCGAGCATAAATGGAGATCAAAATTACATAAACCGAGCCAGTCCGTTAAAATTAAATTTTAGGGAGTTAAAAGTATGAAAAAATACTTGAAAAGTCAATACAAAAAGTGATGGTGGATAAGGTTGCTCGGAGTGATGACAAAGAGACAGAGTGGAACGGATTCACATGTGTAATAAATTGTTTTATTAACTATGTTAATTTTTCGGAATGTACCTTTCATTTATTTATTTATTTATTTGTTTATTAATCTAGATGCTTCTTTACCAAATCTATATAAGATGCTGCTGTATACAGTCTTCTACTTTAGATGCTGTTGTACACGATGTTCTCATTTAGATGCTGAGCTGTACACAATCTTTTAATCTAGATGCTGCTGTACACAATCTTCTAATCTAGATGCTGCTGTACACAATCTTTTAATTTAGATGCTTCTGTACACAATCTTCTAATTTAGATGCTGCTAAACACAATCTTCTAATTTAGATGCTGTTGTACACAATCTTTTAATCTAGATGCTGCTGTACACATACTTTTAATTTAGATGCTGCTATACACAATCTTCTAATTTAGATACTGTTGTACACAATCTTTTAATCTAGATGCTGCTGTACACAATCTTCTAATTCAGATGCTGCTGTACACAATCTTTTAATCTAGATGCTGCTGTACACAATCTTCTAATTTAGATGCTGCTGTACACAATCTTTTAATCTAGATACTGCTGTACACAATCTTCTACTTTAGATGCTGCTGTACACAATCTTTTAATCTAGATACTGCTATACACAATCTTCTACTTTGGATGCTGCTGTACACAATCTTCTAATTTAGATGCTGCTGTACACAATCTTTTAATCTAGATGCTGCTACACACAATCTTCTAATTTAGATGCTGCTGTACACAATCTTTTAATCTAGATGCTGCTATACACAATCTTCTAATTTAGATGCTGCTATACACAATCTTCTAATTTAGATGCTGCTATACACAATCTTTTAATTTAGATGCTGCTGTACACAATCTTTTAGTCTAGATGCTGCTATACGCAATCTTCTAATTTAAACGCTTCCTTATACAATTTTAATCCGGTGGACTATAAAATCAACAGCTTTTTAAATGCAAAAAAAATACTTTCCAATATTTGTTTCAGAGTTGGAAGGAGGATATGTCGCTTCATCAGGAGCATGTGCTGGTGATTTCGGAGGACCGTTGTATTTCAAGGAAAAATCAGCTTTCGTCCTCACAGGTGAGGTAATAATGATTCTTCAAAACTAAAGTGGGAACATTTCTTTCCTTCTTGTCTGGGATACAAATTTTTTCAGATCTTATTCCTCTCTACTTTCCTAGAATAGTCCTGGGATTTACTAAATGTGTTTTGCTTTATCACTGGTTTTAGATCCACAGAATTTTGTTCGGGTTTACATTTTTATACATTCGTCGTCGTACCCATCAATACAACGAAGACGACTTTCGATTTCAATTTTGATACACATAAATATGACAACTAAGAGAAGTTTCCCTTTATTTGCTTGAAAACTTGCAATAAAAAAAAGTTAGTTAGAAATCAAAACTTAAATAGAAAAGTCCTCTTCATAGTAATGATATAAACGCCGACCAATGTCCCAAAATCTTAAATCTTAATCTTAAATAATATTTTTCTCCCAATAGGAAAAAGAGTTGCTTCTAAAGTAGATGGATTAGTTTAACCTTTATATATCTGATTGATAAAAAAAAGATAAAATTTGATAATCTCGCATGTTATCAAAGTTGTAAACTTATGACTGAACGCTAAAAATTGAACAAGTTACTGCTGGTTCAAATAGTATTTTAAGCACATGGTTGGTTAAAAATTGTCTCAATTAAAGATTTCTACAATACTTAAAGCTTTAACAGTTGGTTGTCCCCGATTTGACATTTATAAAATTCCAACGCTTCCTCTCTATAGAATTATTATAAATATACACAGAAGGAGCCATAATAAATAATTAAGTAATTTGTTTTTATTTTGTTTTGTTTGAGGAATTGCAAGCGGAGAGAAGGGTAAGATTGGGCAGTGTGGAGGGATAAACAATCCTACTCACTATGTCAGGTAAATACATTTATTTCATGTCACCCTTTAATACTCTAAACCTTTGTCCACGCCTAAATAGAGGCGACATCTTTGCTTTCCTGTGTGAAATTAGATGATATTTAATTGTGCTTAATGGAGGATTTGAAGTTGAAAATATTTATCTCTTTCGAAGATATAAAAACGATGACGTTGCAGTTCTTTAAATTGAGTTACTTGAAATTACTCAGACAATCCCTTTATTAGTCTAATTTTCAATAATCTAATCCTGCAAGTACATATCTACAGTATGCAGTGTATATAGGGTTTACACAAGTGTACATATCTTAACAAGTCTAATTTCCAATAATCTAATCCTGCAAGTACATATATACAGTATACAGTATATATAGGGTTTACACAAGTGTACATATCTTAACAAGTCTAATTTCCAATAATCTAATCCTGCAAGTACATATCTACAGTGTGCAGTGTATATAGGGTTTACACAAGTGTACATATCTTAACAGTCTAATTTATTCATAATTATGTTTCCTTTTCTTACAATTAAACCCGAAATAAACCATACATCGAAAGAATTCAGGTGTACTTCACTTTCTGATAATGGAATGTTGCAGATATTTAGTTTTTAAAGTAAATGATTATATGGAGCTCTTTATAATGTTCCCGCATATTCATTGCTATTTATTAATTTTCGCAAATACTGAGATTTACGTAAAATAGTATAAAACCCGATGAAAAATTTTCAAGACGACATTTGATAAATTCTTTTGTATGGCGTACTTCGGGTTTAACTGTATCAAATCAAATTATTAGCAGCTTCTAGAAAATGATTACTACACACATAAGAATTAGGCGTCCAGGGCGAACATTTGAACATTTTCTATTATGACCCAAATGTCCCAATGAGCAATGCACGATCCAAAATAATGTTGGACACCCTGTACATATTAGAACTTTTTATAGTCTTTGATATTCAAGGGTCCAGGAATTTGTGAACTGGATTGTCTCCACTCTGCATCAAGATGCAAGAAAACTCTGCTGGCATAAAAAATTCAGGAAAATTTGATAAAAAATAAAATTTTAGATAAAAAGTTGACATTAATTAAAAAAATTAAAGTTTAAAATTGCTTTGAAGAAAGATTGAACTGTCATTTAAAATAATCTATTAATATATTTTTAAGTATAAGGTAGACATTTTAAATTTTTTCTTTATGATCATTTGTAGCTTGCGATTTTATGTTTGACACATATTTTTTATCTTCTTTAAAGTGACCTATTGAAGAAAAAGAACGAGTGAAGACGGCAAAAATATCTTTTTTAAATAATGAGGAAATTGATAATAAATATGGATCAGAATATTATTTTTATTTATGCTGAGATTAATTGGAACAGGGGTGAATACTTCTTTAAAAACAATTTCTCCACCACTAGTGTGTTAGAACTGTTAATATGTACTGCAAAATTTAAAAGTTTTTTCCATTGAATTTCAACCCCCCCCCCCCCGCCATCTTCCAAAAGAATATATAAACCTAACAGTAAACGCATTACAATACAAACTTATCTCATCAGAATTGTTTTCTTCTTCTGACTTTTAAACGAAACAGGAACACTAACCAGGGTTGAAATGTTACAAGAGAGAAATTGTTATTAGGGTCTACCTTTTTTAACTACAATACAAAAACCTTCTTAATGTTGTAGGAAAAGTGGGAACAAAAAGTTTTCCTTTTACCAAAATGTTTTTATGAACATTTAGTATTATCCGAATATCAACCTCTAAGTGTAAAGAAGTGTCAAAGAAGAAAGTGCCAACAATTTATTTTCAGTTTTGAAACAAGCATAATGTTTGATGTTCATAAAAAAACATATTTTCATTTTTTCATGATTTGAAATATTTAATATCATCACTTTTCTAAATCTTAGCGTTGATCATACAAGAAAATAAAAACACTAAAAGAGGACAACTTAAAACGTTGATAATTTTCAACACTAACTGAACGAGTTCTGAGTTCTCTGATTTAAGTTCGAAAAAGTTTTATGAAACTGATGTGTATTCAACGAGATGTTGACAATATTACATGCAGGAGAAAAATATATTAGAAAAGGGAATCTCGATAAACAACGCTTTCTTATGATGAGAACCAAGAAAATTATAATTTTCTATTTACTATTGAACAAACATAACAAGGTTCATCGTACATAGAAAAAATCTGAAGACGACAGTAAAAAACAGTGTTTATTCCGAGCAATCATAGATTCTTTCCAATGTTTTCGGTAACATTTACTTTCTTTACATTCTTGGATCTTAGTGGGCTTGGTTGAGTTACCATAATGGGCAATGCGTGGACTGCTGGAGTAACCCCAGGATATGAGGAAAGAGTTTGAGCAGATCTTTTTAGGACAGGAGCTGACAGAGATTTGATGGAAACAGTTGAAGCCGGATACGGTTGTGGAATTGACTCTGAATATGATTGGATGAAAGAACTGAGTAAATCTGGCTCGGAGTACGGATAAGTAGGGGAAGTGGGCAAGACTGGTTCAGAGTAAGGATAGGTTGGAGAAGTAGGCACTACTGGTTCGGAGTAAGGATAAGTTGGAGAAGTATCCAGGACTGGCTTGGAGTAAAGATAGTTTTGAGAAGTAGGCAGTACTGAATCAGAGTAAGGATAGGTCGGAGAAGTAGGCATGACTGGATCAGAGTAAGGATGGGTTGGAATTTTAGACAAGACTGGTTCGGAGTAAGGATAAGTTGGAGAAGTAGGCACTACTGGTTCGGAGTAAGGATAAGTTGGAGAAGTAGCCAGGACTGGCTTGGAGTAAAGATAGTTTTGAGAAGTAGGCAGTACTGAATCATAGTAATGATTGGTAGTAGAAGTAGGCATGACTGGATCAGAGTAAGGATGGGTTGGAGTTGTAGACAAGACTGGATCAGAGTAAGGTTGGGGATGAGAAGTAGGCGGGACTGGTTCGGAGTAAGAATGGGTTGGAGAAGTACGGAGGACTAGTTCGGAGTAAGAATGGGTTGGAGAAGTACGGAGAACTGGTTCCGAGTAAGAATGGGTTGGAGTAGTAGACCAAACTGGATCAGAGTATAGTTGGAGTTGTGAAGTAGGCAGGACTGGTTCGGAGTAAAAATAGGTTGGAGAAGTAGGCATGACTGGATTAGAGCGGCAGGAGGTTGTAGAGGTACGGAGGACTGGATCGGAGTAAGGACAGGTTTGAGAAGAAGGCAGGGCTATGTTGGAGAAAGAAGATAAATAAACCTTAGATGAAGGCAATACTCCAAACTTTAACTTCTTTTTGGTAGTATTAGATACTTTCTTGCTTGTAACCACATCTTCAACTTTATCTTCGTGTCTTTTTCTTTTTTCCTTCCCACTTGTTATTCGAACCACCGAGGTAGGCTGAATTTCCTGAAAAAAACGTATTATGAAAATTAGAAGAAAATAGTTTATGGATAATAACGAAATAAACTACTCAATACTAATGATTCTTTATTAAAACACAAACTTTTTTGTTTTGATAATGTTAATCCACTGTAATTTACTCCATACCTTTCTAGAATCCACTTTTTTCTCAGAAATATTAGGGGTTTCCTCCTCAACTTTCGTAACCTTGGACTTGATTTGCTTCTTGATTTCGGACTCTAAAAAATGATAAAAAAATATCCCACCATGATTATCCACATGACATAAAAACATAGCAAAATATAGCTACAGGGTTACTCACGAAGGATGAGACTTCAGAGACGACTGTACGGAACTTATCTATTTTTTTCCTCCATAGATTTAAGGTTCCCTGTATATAGAGACTTGTCTACCTTTTAGCCAAATAATTTATTACACCAATAAAAAACAAAATCTAAGACAGACTCTAAAGTTTAAACCTCAGATCTAATATATAAAGAGTTTTAGGTAGTCATTAAAGTTTCATCCTTTGTGGGTAACCCTGTACTTGAGGGGGTAAAATATATATCAAAAAGCAAAAATATAAAATTTGCTAGGCACCTTATAAAAGAAAGAGACAAAGCAGAGAAGAGCAAGGAAAGGTAAAAAAACAATGAGTGGAACTCAGGTACAGTTCTATGCTAGAATTTAATAACAATCTAAGTTTAGCTTGAAATTTCCAAGAAAAAAAGGATGCAAGATAATTTTATGTTGAACCAATAAAGTAATCTGAAACTACATAAATTGGAAAGTAAAATATAAGTGTACCATAATTATTACTTGGTTTGATTTTCCGCAATTTGACAAAGCATGGTTTGATATTTTTTCTCCCGATTCTTCTCCTACTACAAGTATGTATTAACTATAAGCAGTTTGATTTCAACTCAACCATAATACTTCCTGTTAATAATTTAAAATGTTTTTTTTTTTCGTTCGATTTACTTCCTTTATTCTTAATAAAATTTCCATAACACTTAATTATCATTGACAAAATTTTTTTTTCAAGCAGTGAAGTACCATACTTAAAGAAGTTAAAAAACCGCAAAATTTAAAGATGAGTGCTTGAAAACTTTAATTTACTACTCTCTGAAGGATTTTTAAATAATCATCATGTCGTCATATTGCCTCCATAGTGACTAAAAACAGAATACTATATTACATCTCTTCCTTGTAGCAGTTTTGTAGATGGACTGAACAGGTTCGTGATTTGAAGAAGAAGGGTTGGGAGTTAGATTACGATGTTTTGGGGTTAAAGTAGAAGACTTGGAAACTGGAGGATTAGGATTTGAAGTGATAAGTTTAGATATTGAAGTGATAGTTTTGGCGGTCGGAGGAGTAGGTTTAGGAGTAGAATAAGAAGTATTGGAGACTGGAGGAGTAGGTTTAGGAGTAGAATTAGAAGTATTGGAGACTGGAGGAGTAGGTTTAGGAGTAGAATTAGAAGTATTGGAGATTGGAGGAGTAGTTTTTGGTGTAGAATTAGAAGTATTGGAGACTGGAGGAGTAGGTTCTGGAGTAGAATTAGAAGTATTGGAGACTAGAGGAGTAGGTTTTGGAGCAGAATTAGAAGTATTGGAGACTGGAGGAATAGGTTCTGGAGTAGAATTAGAAGTATTGAAGACTGGAGGAGTAGGTTTTGGAGTAGAATTAGAAGTATTGGAGAATGGAGGATTTGGTTTTGTAGTAGAATTAGAAGTATTGGAGACTGGAGGAGTAGGTTTTGGAGTAGAATTAAAAGTATTGGAAACTGTAGAAGTACGGTTAAGAATGCCAGTAGTCTTGGAGCGTTGGGGACTGCGTTTTGTGGCTGAATAAGTAGGTCTGGGGGTTGTGGTGGTAAATTCGATGCTTTGAGTAGGTTTGGGGGTAGTTTCGGTGGTTGGAGCAGGTCTCAAGGTAGAAGTAGTAGGTCTGGGCATTGCAGTGGTATTTTCGGTAATAAGAGAAGTATGTTTGGAAGTTGGGGGTGTAGTTTCCGGAGTCGAGGTAGTTGGCTTAGGGGTTAACAAAGGTGGATTCAGGGTTGACGCAGTATGTTTGGAGAGTTTAGGGCTATCGAATGAGAAATGAGATTTATAATGTTTGGGTAGAGAAGAAATAGAACTTTTCCTATTACCTTCGCTTTCAGTTCCATCTTCCTTTAATTCTTCAGAGATATTCAATATTTCCTTTACAACATTCTTTTTCATGGTTACTCCTAATTTACTAATCCGTATTTCATGTTTTCTTTCCTTGTTTCCCTCAGAAGTCTTGGAGCGTTGGGGACTACGTTTTGTGGCTGAATATGTAGGTATGGGGGTTGTGGTGGTGGATTCGATGCTTTGAGTAGGTTTTATGGTTAGTGGAGTATGTTCGGGGGTAGTTCCGGTGGTTGGTGCAGGTTTCAAGGTTGAAGTAGTAGGTCTTGGCATTGCAGTGGTATTTTCGGTAATAAGAGAAGTATGTTTGGAAGTTGGGGGTGTAGTTTCCGGAGTCGAGGTAGTTGGCTTAGGGGTTAACAGAGTAGGATTCAGGGTTGACGCAGTATGTTTGGAGAGTTTAGTGCTATCGAATGAGAAATGAGAGGTATAATGTTTGGGTAGAGAAGACATAGAACTTTTCCTCGTACCTTTGCTATTAGTTCCATCTTCCTTTCTGATCCGTATTTCATGTTTTCTTTCCTTTTTTCCCTCAGATACATTTACTTGAATTTTTTCCCGCGTTCTAACCTCGTCTTCATTTCTCTTGTCAATAGATTCTTTTTCCTCCTTGACCGGCTCATGAAGCTGGGGAGCAGCGGGTACAGCGAGCACGACAGGTTCGGAGGCAGCTGCGATGATCTGCTTCTGAATAGGTTCCTTGAGACGAACCTCGCCAGTCGTTATTCTTGTCGTCGCCTCGTTCTTGCAATTCGAGAAAACCTCATCCTTGAATGAGAAAATATATCATTTCGATAAAATTAACTCAATATTTTCACTAATCTAATTAATATTATCAAAACCTACTCTTTACCTGACTTATTCAAATTAAAAGTTTAAATGTTAGCTTTTATTCGCAGCAGAGCCAGAAAAAACCTGGGTTTTAAAAAAACCAGCCCAGTGTTTTTTTGGGGGCTAAATTGGTTCATTCATTATTTGGGTTTTTATTAAAAGTTTTTCAAGCAATTAATGAACTTTATAGTTACGAAAAATGACAATAGGATCTAATAAAAGTTATCTAAATTTTATATTAAAGTATTTCTTCCCTTTAGTTATATTTTTTAAAATGAATACATATTTCTGGGGAGGGGGGGGGGGGGATCAAATCAAATCATAAAATGTAGAGAGGTCTAAGACTCCAGTAGTGGATTGCAGTTTCAAGACCTCCCCATTTCTGGTTTTTCAGCCCTGCCGTCTGTTTACATATACTTTTTTTACTTTGCATTTGCGATAAAATTACTCTTTTTTACTTTGTATTTGCGATAAATGTACTCTTTTTTACTTTGTATTTGCGATAAATGTACTCTTTTTTACTTTGTATTTGCGATAAATGTACTCTTTTTTACTTTGCATTTGCGATAAAATTACTCTTTTTACTTTGCATTTGCGATAGATGTACTCTTTTTTACTTTGTATTTGCGATAAATGTACTCTTTTTTACTTTGCATTTGCGATAAATGTATTCTTTCTTACTTTGCATTTGCGATAAATGTACTCTTTTTTTACTTTGTATTTGCGATAAAATTACTCTTTTTTACTTTGTATTTGCGAAGCGCCCAGCAATACGACTAAATTTGAGCCATGCCCCACTTTAGACATCTGTAAGTAATTATATGCTTATGAAGGAAAGACCACTGTTAATTACTGAAATACTGAAGCTCCCTTATGAAAGTATCGTATTGAGTTAAAAGGATAAAATTGATGCTTAACAAAAATTGCAAATGACTAATTTTGAAATTTGTTTGGTCTAAACCCATAAACTTTCTTGGTGCCCAGAAAGCTGAAAAAATTGCAACTGTATACAAGGCCTATACCACCGATAACTTATTATTTCTTATGGTAAGATCATAGGTTTTAGTCAAACCTCCCAAATAATCAATATAATTAATAGAAAACCACATTTCTTGAATAGTTTATCAATGTAAGAAAGTACGCAGTAAACGCTGCTAACTGTTTAGTCAATATGTGAAATCTTACAAGTTTTTATGTTGAAAAGAATAAAATTAAGATGATATTCTATAATTCTAATGATAAAAGTTTCCCTAAATATTTAAGACTTTTACCTGATATCTGAAGATATCGTTATGAATGTAGTACTTTTTCGCAGACTGAGGAGCCAGAACCAAGGTCTGGACGAACCTTCTCATGGGTTGCCCATTGTTAGAGAGTTCCCCCGAGATCTGAACCACAACTCCGTCCGCCAGTGTCTTGTGGCAGTCAACCTAAACGGGGGAAAACATATAAAATACTTCAGTGATAATGCGGCAAAAACATAATTGAATGCTAAACTTTCATCTAAACGAATTATTTTTCATTGAGAAATGTAATCTGAATTTCAATAAAAATAAGAATGAACTGCACAAACCTTACTGATCTTGGCATGACAATCCTTGAAGTTGAGCTGAAGTATCTTCTGATGAATCTCCTGCTGTCCACGAACAACCTCTGCGTCTGTTCCACTGTCAACGCCTCCGTGAACAAAACTTGACTGTCCGTTGTAAAATCTCAACAAAAATAAATTCTTTAAACCTTTAATAATTATTTTAATACTTCCTTTAAAAGAATAGAACAGATTCTTCAATACACCATTCTATCACTTTTATTTTTATTGGGCATACAGTACTGCCAAATGAAACATAAAAGAATTAAAAAGTAGACAATAAACAAACCCACACTTAATGATCAGCCCCCCCNGGTATAGTACTGGTGGAAAAACTCAAGACCTGCACACTGAGGGGTGGGTGGGTTTAGTTCTAACCTGTGAAGGTTGAGAGGATCTTGGTTGAGCTGGGTATAGTACTGATGGACAAACTCACGACCTGCACACTGAGGGGTGGGTGGGTTTAGTTCTAACCTGTGAAGGTTGAGAGGATCTTGGTTGAGCTGGGTATAGTACTGGTGGACAAACTCACGACCTACACACTGAGGGGTGGGGGGTTCCATGACCTGAATTAAAGAAAATAGTAAAGCTGCAAAGCTACGACGCGGTGAGTCTTGAAACCTCCTTCTCTCCCATGGTTAAAAAGTATTTTCTTCAAAAGATTAAATCTAAATTTCAGATTTACACCTCAAAAGTGAAGATTTAAATTTAAAATTAAAATGATATTTATTTTGTACAGACCAGAGACAATTCACATTTCCTTTAAAAAGTTAAGGACCAAAATTTGCACAAATATTAAAGACCGTCGTTCTGGTTGTTGCCCCCCCCCCCCTTCTGAACTTTAACTTTAGCTTTGCGTCTGAAATTACTTAAATATTAAACGTGAAAAAAATACCATTAGTATAAATTTATAACATGTTAACCTTTATTTATGCAATTTACAAGATCAGAAGTTTTAAATTATTTTGCTATTAGTTCCATCTTNCTCTTCTCAGTCTTACGCTTCACTTAAAAAGAATTACCTAGCTAATTCTGGAAATTCTAAGACTCCAGGCTGCAATACTGTTTTCACCCGGCCTCGTTACAAAATTTTGTTAAAAATAACTTCTGAAATTTTAATATAAAAATTTGAGTTTCTCTTTTGGTTATTAACAACGAGAAATTGAAGCTTCTTGTAAAAATAAATGCGAGGGAAATTTTTTTGTAAACAAAATTTGAATCAAATAAGCTAAATGATATAATTAAAGTTGCATAAAGAATAACATTTATTCCAGTTAATCACAAAAGCTGGAAAATCGTAACATTAAGAGAAAACGACGGAAATATGATCTTGCTCAAGTTTCCTCTACTTCCAACTCCATATGGCTGCTCTGCGACATGAAGATTATGGCTTGGTCCGGCTCCTCATTAACATCCTCCTCCTCCAGTCCATCCAGCATAGTGACAGGCAGATACTTACAATCAACATTCTTAAATTTAAAATCATCTTTAGAAACTTAAAAAGTAAAATGCCTAAAGGGACTGTAGACGTAATTTGAAGTGACCATCAATTAAAAAATCGGATCATGTCCGATTCACAACGGTACCATTTAAACATTTATCTAACAATATTGGGCAAAATACCAGTTGGCAAACGTTCAAAACGTGTCGAATTCTGTAAATTAAGTTCTTTCTCTTGGTTGCATGAAATCGGCAAGTCTCTCTTGAGAACCCACGATGAGAAACTTGAAATTTCAAGATAGGAAAACTATAATAATTTCCTTGTTTTTCCTTGAAATTAGCTCTTCAATCAAGGCCAGAAGACAACATTATTAAACTCCAAGTGAAATTTGAAGTAAGCAAAAAGCGTCTTGAATTATCAGAAGACTTTTAGCAACGTCTTTGGTTAAAACTGGTTTGGGTGGCAGATATCTGTCATTTGATGTCTGCTTAACCCTATTCTGACTGACGTCTGATTTACTCAAAATAGACTGGGGGGGGGGTCATTGTGACCACTCTTTATTTCCTTATTGTGATACAAATCTACATATGTATATAGTCCATGTTTGGAAACCCTTGGGCTCCACTGACATAATTTGCAATTTTTTTTGCAAATTTGCAAAAATGTATTATTTATGGAAAAATTAAGATTTTATAGCAAAAAAGTGTAAAAACTAAAAGTGCGCGAACTATTTTAAATAGCCCTTAACCCAGCAAATTCAAATATGCAAAAATATCTGCAAAATCTGAAAACTTAAATGTGTATTCAAGAAAAACCAAATTTGTGCAAATAACATTTTAAAGATCTGTACCAAAATGTTCGCAAAATTTCTTTGCAGAAATTGTGCAATATGAATATTATGGCTTATGATTTATCGCAAAAAACGACGGAGGAGGGTTACAGTGACCCCCCCTCAGCGGAAGTTAAGAGGGACTAGTCAAGATGGAGACAGATACAGCTCATTGACTGAAGACACCCTCCCTGAGACAAAGATTAATTTTAGGTTAGGAGTTTATCGTTAATTATAACAGATAAATGCAAAAAACTTGTAACAATAATCAAGGAAAGATTTTTCCGTATAAGTTCCATATAGAATGAACTGCATCACCTAGATCTGTTTAGCATCTACTACGGTAGATCTTTCGAAAATCTAAGAAAGATTCCGCTCTTGATCTCCAAGTTTTTAATAGCATTCTTAACAGCTTTAAGAACTGAATTAGACCTTAAGAAATTTGAAACAAACAGATCCAGAATACAAATTAGTTCAGTTGCCCCCTTGGTTATATATATTAAGCTAACGATGGCTGGCTTGTCTAAATCTTTTCCCTAACACTAGTTAGTGTACAGTGTTAATTCACCAATTTTTTAATGCCAGCTCACTTTTGAAAACTTCGAATGCATAGATTAAACGGGAGGTTTAAAAAATAAAGAATTTAATGCAAGGAAAGTTATTTCAGAAGTGTACGCATGTTCTGTACTGCAGTGTACTGTCACTGGGGAGGTAATGTAAACACAAGACGGATGTCGAAGCCTGACATCGGATCCATCTTTCACATAAATAATCAATGATATATTCTTGTCATAGGAAACTATTATGTTAATTATCAAAATTAAATGCTTTCATCCTCCTCTGATACTAAACGAGCACTGATGCATCTATTCTTGTTTACAAATTCCGCCCAGAGAGAACAGGTTTCAATATGTACGCAGAGTATACCCAACTGCAATTAACTTTTCTTGCATTACACCCTTGTGAAAAACTTAAAAATCACGTCGAAAAAAGTCTTCAGGGACCAAATTATAAAATTGGAGAGGTCGCTAAACTACTTACAGTCGGTACTAATCTTAACCACATAGAATCCTTAACTTTGAATCACTGATTCAAATTTGAACCGGCAGTAATTCAGCGACCTTGCTTAAGAATAATTTCGACAACACGTGCATGGATATCTGGCCTATAAATTTTAACTGCCAGATTCTTTTTCTGACTATGTCTATTTAATTTCAGGATGTAAATAACCTCATCTCGGATCAGTTAGGATTTTAATCCTTACTAAGGTCTATGACTGACATGACTCTTTTTTGAGGATGATAAACTGAGTGCATAAGATCCGCACTATTTAGCTGACTGGATCCTGATCTGTAAAACTATGCAGGTCCTCGGATCCGGTCCAAAATATTACTAAAACCTTCCTTATCTCTTAATCATACACCAAGTCTTTGCATAAAAATAAGCGAAAAAATAAAAATTAATTTGAAAATTCTAATTTTGGTTAAAACTGCAAATTCTAAAGAAATGTTTATGACCCGGATAAGGTCAATTTTTTAGGACGGATCCTGATCAGCATCAAAATGAAATGGATCCTAAGCTGACAATTCCATCAAACCCAATCTTAACGGAATATTTTAAAATGACTTCTCAAGAAAACTAAATTATTCGTAGATTAATCAGACCAAGAATAATATTGCAAGATAATTACGAAGAGAAGACTTAAAATCTAATGAAAATTTGAAATTGGAACTAAATGATTTAAGAGCACTTTCAAACATTTAAATATAAATCATATTTAATAAAGAATAAACTATACACAGGGAGTTTACAAGGATAAAGTATTATTTTTTAAACGTTTTTCTCATGACATAAACCGTAGTTTATTTACCGTGGCTCTATTTTTAGTATCTCCTTGTCTTAAGATTATTGAAGATTTCCAGAATCCAAAGCTAACCATCAAACTGTTCAGGACGGGAAAAGTCCGATCCTCCTCCTGCTCCTCGAGACCCTCCGACTTCTGTTAGAATCTATTAACATGAAGAATACATAATGGAGGTTACAATAAGAGTAAAAACTTAATCATTAAATTTATCACATGTTTAGTTCAATCAAATATTAAAGTTATAAAGCTTGGTTTAGTTTGTATTTATCAACTCTTGACGGGTTTACAAAAAAACCGGGATAAATACGAGCAGAACAAGGACATGATATAGGGCTCCGTAGTCCTACACAACCCAACTTGTTTCTACATTTAAAGCAGTTTAGCCGGGGTTCGTTTTCACTAGATTTCATCCATACAAGTGGTAGAACAACTAGACCCAAACTACAGGGCTCACTTAACATCTTCCACCAATTATCATCATGTGGAACCAGGTCATTGGAGTAGAAGAGAACCTCACGACATTTCCCGCATTTATATCCAAACTCAGAATCAGATCGTGAAACTTGGATGTATTCGACAACGTTGTGTGTCAGCAAGAATAGTCTGTAATTTCTATTTCCGGGATTTAAATTGTATCTCAACAAATACCATAATTCCAACTGTTTTCGAAATCCTGAAGAAAAAAGACAGATTTACAACGTTTAATTAAGTCTTGTGTACAAACATTTTCATTTAATTTAAAATTAATAGATAATTATCAGTATAATATATGCTTTAAAAAATATTTGAAAAAGAACCTGGGTTAGGTTGAACACCTGGTCTTTTCTTTTCCACCATCTCTAGCACAGCGTTGAGGTCTTTCTCTAAACAGTCCCGGGGGCCGGAGTTAATGACAAACAACACATGGATATATTTTATTTTTTTACGTAAACTGGTCAGTTTTCAGCTTCATTTGGATACTTGCTACCCCAAAAACCTTAGAAATCATTTAATTTCCCCAACCCCCATATCCGCAAAATTATTACAAACTTAATTAGATTTTCAAACCTTCCTGAAATACTAGAAAAAAATGATTTTGTAAGGTGGAGGAATAATTTATCAAGAAGATATACACCACTGTTGTTATATTATAAATCAGAAATGCAATAATTAAGAATAATTTCTTTTTCTTCTCTTTAAACAACTTTTTTGGGTATTAATATATAATAAGTTTGAACAACTTCTGTTTTAATTTTCAATCAGACACGATTTAAAAAATTCTATACAACCATAAAGGTTGGATATAACAGAACACTAGAAAACCTTTACCTAAAGTACGCATAAGTAACGCAATAACAATGCTAGCGCTCCTAGACACTCCATGTCTACAGTGAACCAAAGTTCTCTAAAAATTATCCAAATATATTAATGTTAGTCAAGTGCTCTAGTGCTCCCAATATATTTGAACAATGAGTTTTGATAATTATTTGAGTTTCTGACCAATGCAAGTGTTTACGTCCCACGCCAAGCCCTGACCTGATCGAAGGAGTTATACATCTTAAAACATATCTGTCAGACCCTATTCTAATCTTAAAAATCAAATCTTTCTTCTTGCACTTAAAATTTCTCCAGATTGTGGGGGGGGGGGCCCTTCCCACTTGTTTTCCGGGGAGGGGGACGTCCCCCCCTCCCCGTCCTCTTATAAGCCACCTCTGAGTCTGACAAATATTTCCAATTGATTTAAATCCCAGCCTCTGAATTATCTAACCTGTTGAAGATTAATGTTAGATATAATCCAGTTTGTCAGCTCTGGAAGCAGTGGGAGGAGCAAACTGTCCTCTTCGTCCGTTATCTAAATACAAAGAGAACCAGGTTGAAAACATGATTCAGATCGATAATAGGGACCTGGGACAATGGGTGTCAGGTACGAAGTGAAGAAATATGGTTTCTTGATATATTCCAACTGAAAGGAGGGGGATGCTTAATACATCGTAACCCAGATCACTGGGAAACCCCTATTACAAGATTATTACATTGATTTTCAATTAATCTAAGAAAGTTTCCTAAATACATGCTTACACTCTAAGCATTTAAGTTTCATTGACTGCAATACTTGAAAGTTGTACCTGAATGAACTTATGTCGAACTCCCCAGATCTCTGGTATACCTGGAGATTCTGAGTCCAGGGTTAGAACATGCTTTACTTGATATTTTGATAAAAAATTCTGCTCTACACTATCCAGGCCCCCGAGATATATCAATGGAGTTATCTCTGAAGTACAAAAAAATAAAATTTTTATTTGTTGTATTTATGGGGGTAGCAGGAAGCAAAAAAATTGGGGGGTACCACATAAATTCGGATCGTTTATGGCTCTAAATTAATGTTATTGGGACGTATCAGAAACTAAAAAAATGATAAATCATTTTAAAATATTGTATAAGCCTAATACAAAAATTTACATGCAAAACACTAAGTTTTCAAGAATTATGTGCGTAATTCAGCGTTAAATCTTGGAGAAATCCAATATTGAATGGGACGCTCTGTATGTTTTAGTTATATATGTATGTATCCACTTAGTGTAAGAGAAAAAATGAGGGAACAAAAAAACAGTTTTCAGTTATACAAAAATATGAATTTTTACCGGACATGTTTCGAGGCCAAAGAGTTTCGGAAAAATTTACTATCTCCTGAATTCCTTACTCACGACATTATCTCTGAAATAAAAATTCTGAATGAGATACAAATTTGTAAAGTTCTGAGGAATCAGAACGCAGTAATTGTTAAGTTTACGTCAAAAAATTACTGGACATTAACAATCATTAATATTTTATCTACAGCAAGCACTATTACAAGCAGTGCTTAGGATCTGGATCCGGATCCGTTGGATCCGCAAGATTTTGGCTTCTTGGATCCGGATCCGCAAAAATATGCGGATCCACGGATCCGGATCCAAGGGAAAAAATATCAACCAAAAACTGAAAAAAAAACTTTTTTACTCCTAAAACCCAAATCTGAACTTTTGAAAAGAAGAGAGATTATAAAAATTAAACAAAAAATTTGAAAATTTTTTTTTGAAATAAAAATTCAGTAAATCTTTTAGAAATGACCTGGATCCGGATCCATTTTTTTACCAGTGCGTATCCAGGATCCGGATCCGGATCAAAAATTAATGGATCCTAAGCACTGATTACAAGCATCAGTACAATAACACGGTTATAATTTTAAAGAAACTAAATTTACAATGAAGTGAAAGATAAGCTAGGATGAACTACGCAATTCTTTCTCATAACGTGCGTTTATCAATCTTCGGTAGTCAGCCAAAACAACGTGAAAGGAAAAAAATTGCAATTGAATCCAAAATTATGAATAATATGAATACATAATGTCAAATAGCGTCCTCCTACGCATTAGGCCGGGCGTAAGTGACGCATGAGTGCGTAGCTGCTCTAAGGACTAGGTAGCTGCACCCAGCTTTAAGCCGTCGGTGCAGCGATTTTTCTTCAATCGATCAATCGATCGAGCAATGGATAGTGTAGAGCAGTCTTAATATTTTACTTCAATATCACAAGAGTGCAAGGAGAGAATTGCACTTAATTTGTTGTCTAAAATTTCACTAAAGATGTCCATAGGCGTTGTATGCATGATAAGGATAGTCCATAGGGACTTTCCCCAGGTCTAGCAGTACCCGCCATCATCGCCGCGGCGGTGTGACTGTCCATCCCCATGTAGCCCATGGCGGTGGGGTCAGGGGAGGGGTAGCCGGAGGGACCGGCTCGATTCGACTGATCAATCATGGGTTGAACGATTCGTCGACGTGCATTGACAAACCAGTTATTAACTTGAAGTATGGATAGTCCTGTGTCGACCGCCAGCTGTTTCTTCTGATCCTCCGAAGGGTACGGATTGGTCAGATGTTGGAACAGCCAGGCGCGCAGGATATTTGTCGCAACTTTGGGAAAAATGCCGCGTTTTTTGCTATTTTTGCTTTTCCCGGTGGGGTCGTCGTCGTCACACCCTGATCCGTCTCCGGATCCTACACTTGCATTGCTCGCGTCTCCGGCCTCTGAGAGGTCGTCTCGCCCTGGAGGTAGGGAGAGGCGGGGGGTTCCGCCCCCAGAGTTTTGTCCGGGGGATCGGGCCTCGTCAAGGTGGCCGGGATCGTAGCTGGAGAGGGAGGAGGGAGGTCGATGATGTTCACCCTGAAAATAAAAATAAAATTAGTTAAATCGATTTAAACAAATAAATGTAACATAAAATTGTTGTACATGAGGCTTGTAAAAACACTTGTTTCCCCCCCCCCCCCCCTGTTATATTAAAGATGATAGAAACGGTAACAGATAACAAAAGAAGACGGATAGTTATGATAGATAGATAGAATTGGTATTATATCATATCTGTTCGGTTCCGTAGTAGTAAACCTATCGTGTAAGAATTCCCATTATTACACGGTTCAGGAGGAACAATTTTAATATTGTTCGCTTCCTTGCGTTTAGGAATGCTTATTCTTACACTGTAGGTGTAGAATTTTCATTCTTTAACGCTCAGACCGTGTAAGAATGTATATTCTTACACGGTCAGAGCGTGAAAGAATGTATATTCTTACACGTTCCAAGCATTAAAGAATGGAAATTCTTACACTAGTTGAAGAATATTCTTTCTTACACGCTCCTTATATTGATATTTTCAGTTTAGATCAATATTGATATTAACTTAATTATTTATTACTGACAACATGAACAGGGCAAACTCACCTTTTCTTTTACATTAATACATGCAAACTTACCTTTTTAACTTAAAAACAACATGCTCACTTACCTTTTTCTGTTATATTAAAACATGCAAACTTCCTTTTTTTACTTTAGTAAAACATGCCCACTTACCTTTTCATGCTCAATTACCTTTTTCGTTTTTTGAAGTATTGATATACCCTAATTCAGAAATATCAATTTAAATCTTAACCTTACTCCTGACAGAAGAGTGGAAATTAACATTTTCTGACCATTCCAAAAGAATACATCAAGATTATTTCATCTCGTTTAAGAATTTCCATTATTACATTTTTTTTTCTCCTCATAAGATTGTTATTATATCTTATTTGTGAGGTTCCATGGCCACATACTCAAGGAATTATATTAAAAAATAATTCTGGTGAAATCCGACTATTTCAAGTTGGAACAGTTCACATTATGAAAGGTTGCAAATAAGTTTTATACTCTTGTTCTGACTACCACTGTTTTTATATTTTTCTAATGTTAAAATCTAAAAAAAAAAACATTTTAGAAGTAAAAATTGGTTCTTAATTTGAAAGTAATGCATGTGGTTTGATTGTTTCCTTAGTTTAGTTTGTTTGTTTACCAATTTCTAATGATTTTTCTCGTTTTTTAAGTTGATACTACATTTAGATACAGCATGTTAAATGTGCCCTGAGTTTTTTTAAGATGGGGAGAAGGTATAATAGTGGGTTGTCTTAATCTACTGAACAATATCGTGTCTTTATTTATAGAAGAAATCATTTTCTGGATATTAGATCCTAAATCTTCCAAAAAGAGGAGATAAAAGCAGGTTATCTAGTAAGAATCAGTTCGACATAAACTGATGAAGATCTTTGTCTTTTATTCATGAAGCAAGATTTACTGGTTTGTTTTCATTAGTATGCTAACACACCATTGAAAGTGTGACACTAATATTTCAATGATAAGTTTTTATCTTTTTTTTGGTTTTGATTGTGGTTTCACTTCATCATCTCGAACTATGCGAGATATGGTGACTCAGACTGAAAAGCTCTGACCATACTATTACAAGTATGCCGAGATTTGCAAAATCTCACCAAACTTGGTTTGAAATGAAGATGAACTGAAAAAAAATTAATAAAGTAGGCAGTCGGGCAGTATGATTTGAGACTCGGCAGTTTGATGAAAGTGTCTAATGTAATGTTTTTTTCCTCATAAGATTATCATATTATAAGAAAAGATTAGGTTATTACTATCCTATTGTTACTATCTAGCCTGGGGGTAGAGAGCTATGGCTAGAAGATAGATAGAAAGATAAACAAAGATAGATAAATATAGATAGATAGATAGATAGATAAATAAATAGATGTAGATAAATAGAACGATAGATTAATAGCTAAATAGATAAATATAGAAAGATATAGAAAGAAAGATAGGTAGATAAAATAGATAGATAGATAGATAGATAAATAAATAGATGTAGATAAATAGAACGATAGATTAATAGCTAAATAGATAAATATAGAAAGATATAGAAAGAAAGATAGGTAGATAAAATAGATAGATAGATAGATAGATATAGATAGTTAGAAAAATAGATAGATGGTTTCTACTCCAAGAGTCAACTATCGGAAGCTTTACAACTCTTTAATCTATGTTTTGATACTCGTAAACACTGCTGGGCAAACAATTTTATTCCGGGTGTAAAAACAATGGGGCAGCAGGCTCAAAAATCCGGGAAACCTATTGTGAACTGATTGAATAATAAGACCGACCTACCCAAAATCTACTAAAAATTTTAATTATGAAATTAAAAAGTTGAGAAGTTTCTAACAATTTTTGAAATTTAATTTTTTATTTTTGTGATATATTTGTATCCCTGATATATATCTGATATCGAGTAAAGCGCGGAACTTATACAATACACCAGCATGTGCAAACTTGGTACATTGTGCTTTTGTGTCCCCATGTGAACATTTGGGAGACTTTTATCAAAACCAGGATCATACAGGGTGGTGTATAGGATACCTGAAATCTTAAACCAACTACAGGGAGATTTAAAAATAAGTCGCCAAATATGCATGTCTGTATGTGATGATGTAGGAGGTATGATGACCGGCGATTTAAAACATTTCTAAAAATCCCGGCCTGTCTGCATTCCCCGTTTAAATTCAGTAACAATAGGGGCAAAAACTACACGCCGTCAAAGTTGGCAGAGAAAGCGGAGAAAACTTTTCTTTTAAGAAATAATTTTTCCCAAAATACGATTTCTTAATGGAGGGAAGATTTATATTTAGTTTCTAAAACTGGGGTAATAAATCTAGCAAGATTCGGCAGAAGAAAAAACATGCTTAGGCTCTTTCAGCGGGCAGCAATGTGGGCCCCAAAAATGTCAATAAGATGTCAAAAATAAACATAAATTCGGAAAAACAATCCTACTGAAAATTTTGGCAGAAAGGTAGATAGAAATAATTGGCTGGACAGTGATCTGGACTTGGAATTCACATTTATCAAGAAAAAATGGGCAAAATTAGGCAAAAAAACGTGAAAAATGTTCTAGATTGTACACAGCTCATTCCCCAGAATAAAGATATATCAACAGGGGTGGGAAAGGGAGGGGCAGGCCATGTCACCAAGACGCGTGGACGAAGACACGAAATCTGCAAGATTGATAAGTTTGAGTTGGGTTTCAGTCTTTTAACCATTTATAATCGCCCATTGTGGACACGCAACCAGCACAAGAAGTGTATATTAAAAGCTAGCTTTAATTATAAACCGCTAAAAACATCTTTTTACAGCATCTACCATTAAAAGCATGCGATAAAGTTTAAAAAGTTCAGAGAAAGGTTTCAAATTTGACAGAGAGAAGTATCTTATTTCCATACTATATATATACAACTAAAATTTGTGATACTCAAGTTTTAACATTCAAACATAAGATTTAGAGGTTCAAAATCTGTAAAATAAATTCGATGAAAAAAAACAATAATTTGATCGATATTTCTTTTCCTGGTTTTTCTGCTGTCTGGAACGAATGGAGTTGAGGAATGATCCCTGCGCGGAGAGATGAGAAATCCCGCAATTGGCGTCGTCAGGAAACCTAATTCAAGTGGTCTTTTCTCTTCAGTTCTTCATCGAATTTTAAAATGAATACGATTTGTTTATTTTTAGTGCAAAACTTAAAATTTCAAATAACACATTAGACGAGAATAACAATAATTATAAAAAATATTTTAAACGATGCGCTTAAAAGTTATGCATATACAAGAACGATGAATTCGTTTTCCTCAAAAACTCGCGACTTTTAAAATATTTATTTTTTTAAACAGAGGTTGTCATTTTTCTTGAGGAAATAAACAGTTTTAACGCAAAATAAAGGTTTCTGAAGATCAAGCAAGTGTGGGATGAAGGAGAGGAGGAAGGAGTTGTTTGCATTTTACTGTGAAGTATCATGACCAGTTTTATCGTTAACTAACTAAGTTGAGCTAAAAAACAAACCGATGCATATGTGGAATCCACATGCCATCGGAAGGTAGGATCTATTTCCCCTTTCGTTCCGCAGGGCCCCTAGCCAGCTGACGACTGCACCCTACACAATCTAGAGGGCCAAGAAGGTACCGCCGGTGGAAATTATTGTACCTTTGAAAACGAAGGATAGGTCATAAGGAGATTAAAGGTCCGACTCCGGCATGACGGACAAGGACTTGGCACAATCTCCCAGCATTTCAGAGGCAACATTGTCACTACCCACAAACTCCTTAAAGATCATTGGCGCAGCTCTACAGAACCTGGAGCGAAGTCACAAACCCCAGCGACTCCTCCCTCGTCGCTAACCGTGGGGCACTCCAAGATCACACGAGTCAATGCTACCAATACAGCCACCCCTCTAGCCTAGCAAAAGAGGCACCATTTGCAGACTGAGCCGTCAGGCCTAGGTATTCTGTATCCAAGACACATGACACCAGCCATTCAACTGTTAAGCACACCCATAAAACGGTCCATCATTTACATGGGGCTGAAGTTTGAACCACTCCTTGGGCTAGGGGAGAGTGAAAAAAGAAGACTTACTCCTCTCTAGCTGGAGAACTCCTGCGACCGCCAAGTCAGCAAACCTCCTTCTCAACCTACTCCTTGTAGCCTGGAGAAAGTGAGCTCCTACCCTGGAGAACGACCCGGACACCTCTGACAGTTTGAACTGTCCTTTCACATCACAGCAAAATGTAAACAAACATTTCGATCTAAATTTTTTTAGATGCTCGTAAGATCGAGTAAAATTTCAAACTTTTCCACAAATGCTTCCCCCGAGAATTTTGGAAAATTAATACGCAATAATTTTTATTAGTTTTTTATATTGGTGAAAGAATAAATCAATTAACCCACCAATCTTCCGCGTCAGAATCTTCGTTATCGTCCGACATCTGCGTCAAAGTTTCAATAATACGACAGCTTGCGTCAATCTTACGCTGCTTCGCGGCCTAATAAATAAAAGATATATTTGACTAGATTTTTTTGAACACCTAGTTAAATCTCGATCTTCAAAGAATATGAACATGACGTCATGTTCTATAAAGAAAATTTCATGTTACCTTAAAACTTGCATGATTATAAGCAAAACAATTCATTGGTAAAAAAGTTGAATAAAACAAAAAGAAACTAAATTAAAAAGTGCAACAATTTTCTCTCTCTCTCTCTCATCCTTGGGACGTAAAACTTTTACTTCAAAGTAGTAAAAATAATTCGCATAAATTTGACCGTTTCCTATGTCTAGATTGGAGTGACATATATTATTTTACCCTAAAATATGATAACCTGAGTAACAAATTCTGTAGAGAGATTTGATACAAACTTCTTTCTCTTCAGCTCACGAGCAAAACTCTTCTTATTCTCTGCTATCTTCTTGTGAATAAATGCTTGTGTGCTAAACCTAAATATAAATTTTAATTTTTAATCTTTAAATTTTCAGCTCTTCATCTAACCTGGATTTAATTTATTGTTGGAACAAAAAAAATTCATGTAAATTTCGTAAATTTTTGCAAATAGAGGGAATTGTAGATAAAGTATTTATCATAAAAAAGGAAAGCAGTGCAGAGCGCCTGTATTAAGATTCTGGCATATCAGGCCATAATTATGAAATTTGGCTGTCTCCAGAGCCCGTTAAATGAAGTAAGATCTTCCCGACTGTATCTCTATTGAGGTATATCTAGTATTAGTTTAGGTCGAGATCCGAACATTATCTCAGTTAATTCCAAAAAAAATATTACTTACGTGTTTTTGACTGGGGAATCAGGACTACTCTCTACCAGTAGATTCGGGGTCTTATTTTCACCACTTAATATATATTAATTGATAAAAAATAATCTTGATTAAATATTCAAATGTTAGCAATGCTGATTTATAAATGTGTACACAGATGTTCAATGTACAATACATTTAAATACATGCTTGCCAATAATCATGAGATTAATTTTTCAAATACAAAGTTACCAAGGAGAATGAAATACAATGGAGGAGGGGTCGACCCAGTCCGCCCCATCATATGATTATTCAATATACCTTAACAGACAGTACTCCATTTGGGAAAGAGATTTTCATAAGTCGTTTTTTTAATTTAAGTTTGGTGTTTTGGTATACCAAAATAAATAAACTTTTAATTATAAAGAATTACCTCAATGTAGCAAATATTTTTGCAATCCCAATAATGTCTTTGTTTAGAGCTAATATCTACCTTTCTTTCTGTGGCGTATACAAAGACCTATTACAAGTACGCGCCACGCGGCGTTTGTATACATAGAGGTTATTGTATTCATTATACAGGAAGAAATGTTGGCTGAATAACCCAAACCAAAGACATTTTTGGGATGAATACAAATTGGCTGCACTGAGGTAATTTTTTGAACTAAAAATCTGTCTTATCTACCAGACAAACACATTCAAAATATAAAAAACAATCTTGGGGACCGGGTCGACCCTTTATATTCAATACTATTTGAAGGTTAGCCACCAAAGGATGATTCTTTAAGACCTGCTTGAAATTTTTCAAATATAAAGATCTGAGAATTAGATTTGATCCTTCCCCTTAAATAAAAATTTAAACAGAAAAGAATAAAAAGTAAACAATATTTATAATTTAATAATTAAGAGTGAAACAAGTTTGAAGCTGCAGCGAACCAAAAATGGTTAAATGATGCAGACCATTTTCCGTACAGTCGTCCTTGAAGTCTCATCCTTTGAAGGTAAATCTGTAGTTAATATAAGTCTATATGCAAAAAAGAGACTAACTCTTTAGGAATCCTGTTAGATTGATATTTTTCCAGAGGGGTTCTTGCAGAGACAACACTAAACACAATTACAGAATTAAAAAGTTCACATAAAATAAGCCTCCCCCCACATGTACACTGGACAGGGGTATATATTTTGAACTATTCCAAACGGCGGGGAGTGGGGGGGGGGGCGAGGGTTGATTGATTTTTGAAATTGAGTTATATGGGTTTGTATGAGACGGGTTCAGGTTTTCTTTCTCCAATTCAAAAACTAAAACCTTAAAAATTCCTTAAACTTGGGGGAAAAAAATTAAAAAAGAGGTTGAAAAGATTTTTTAAGAAAATCCCCTGCACACTTTTATACTGTAAAAAATACATAACATTCATAAAAATAATTTTAAAAGGGAAGAAGGACGGAGAAAAGAAAATAAAGGAACAGATATGAAACTTGCTTCATGTTGAATTATAAAAACTAGTTAACAAACCTTATCTCACTTCCATCAGATGCGTCATCATTCAGAAGATTACAAAGATCAGGTGCCCCTGAGATAAAAAAGTATATTGGCCTTGACAGTTAATCTTTATTCAATCTGTGACAATTTCCACTTTGTATCTTTATTGAAATTTTTTTTTTAAATCTTCAAGATTTTATCCAGTTTGACTAAATTCAAAAATTTTTGTTTGAAAAGTTTACCAAGCACACTTTCAAATCAGCATTGAGCAGCTGGAGTGGAAACATGTTTCATACCAAAACTTGAGCTTGGGTCAGCAATTAAAAATATTTTAGGAAAAATGCAGACAAGTCAGGATAATTCATTAGTAGATCTCTAGAAATCAGGGATTCTTAAACCATTTCTCATTTCAATAGAGAGTCTAGCAGACGGGCAGACGAAATATATTGATTCTTTTTCTTCTTTTTTTTCAGCTAAGTAAATGACAGTGCACGGAATCCGGATTCAAGTTTCAAAATATAAACTAAATTAATAAATAAACAAAAAGTGTAAACAGTCATCATCTGAGCATAACATCACGTGAAAAAGAGGATGAAATTTTCGAAATTTTTTCTTTTCTTTGGAACCGACCCACCATATGATTTCATTCTTTTCATACGGTACCCCATTATATTTCTTTCTCTTTGGACGTATTCCTCTTATAATGAAAAGATAACTATATAAAACAAATGATTGAAAATTGTTACCTTGGAACAAATCATCCTGATGATCTTTATTTATCTGTGAAATAATCTCATGGTTCTTCATCCTTTCCTTTACAGTTCTAGGGTTTACACTTAGCTCACTAACCGGTACAGAAGCTGAACTCTAAATTATTCAGGATAGCTCGGATCAAATCATATCAGACTTCTAGTGACGTCATACTTCCATATTTTAAATTCAAGATGACTTTACTAAATCAAAAATGAAACCTGGGTTAGATCGGATCAATTTTTTTATATTTATTTAAGTACACCCCACACTAAATTCCCATAAGCTTCAATAGTTTTCTAGGGAACATTTTTTTTTTAGAAAACCCACTTAATGATACAGTGCAAAAAATTCAATTCCACTAAAATCCGTTTGAAAATGTACTAAAAAGGAAGTTTACAAACCTTGGATAATTTAAGGGCTTCTTTACTGCTTAAAGTTTTGAAAGGATTTTTCACCAAACGTCGAACTTTCTCCGGTTCTTTAATAATGGTTTCATCTTGGCTAGTTTTCTTCATATCAGTAGTTTTTTTCTTGGTGTTAGGTTTCTTTTTCTTGACGGGAACCGGAGTTTGGAAACTCGGCGAATCACTACTCATGTCAATCCAGGAGCTTCTGTTCTTTCTCAATCTTCCAAACTGGGATATATTGTTATCCGTTTTCTTCTTTGAACTCGGTGTTTCCTGTTCTGGTTCCTTGTTGCTGATCTGGACGTTTTTCTTATGCTTTTCGGTATTCATGTGTCTTACTCCATTTTTATGAGGCATTTTACTAACACCTGGACACACCAAACAAATCACCTGTTTCTCCGTAATTTGAAAATATTTCTCATCAAAGCCAAGAACGGGTTCTTTGATTGGTCTTTTGGGAGATTTTGATTTTGTTTTCTTGGCTTGGACCAGCGTTTCTAGAGACTTTCTTTTCTGAGGTTCAATGTTTTTCTGGTCAGAATTACGATCTTTGCTTTTACTTTGGGAGGTATTCCTTTCCTTGGTTAGAGATGTACACTTAGCACTACTTCCACGGTTCTGATCTGTGCTTCTACTTCTACCATTAGACATATTTCTACCAGTTGACATTCCTCTATCTTTACTCTTATTACTCGATGAAACGGATTTCTCTTGAGACTTGTTCATGGTTTTCTTTCCTTCTTTGTTCCTGCCCAACGATACTCGCAACCCTTCCTGCGACTTCCTCTTGGAACTGGTGTTCAATGTTCGTTCAGAACTCTTAGTTTTACTCCTCTGTCTGGTCTTACTCGTCTTATCCTTTCCTTCCGAAGAATTTTTCCTGGCACCGGTGTTCAGGGTGCGTTCAGAACTCTTAGCTTTACTCATTATACCCGGGTTCAACGGCTTCTCTGTATCTCTTACTATAGGAGAAATCTAAACAAAAGATGTTTAGGTTTGAGGTTATGGAAAGTAGCGCCATTTAAAAAAATGTAAGTCGCGTGCTAAAATCTAATTAAAAATCGGTACAATCGAAATCCAATAAATGTCAAAACGGCTGAACCAAATATTGTGTGAGACCTCATATGACCCCAGAGCCCGCGATTTAAAAACTTCGGCTCGAGTCGTAATTCCTTAAACCCGACTTTAAGACCCAATCTTCGACCCAACTCTAACGACAGCTTGTGTCACGTGATTGACAGCTGCAAGATCTTCGGCTCGACTTAAGGAGTTAGGCCCAATGAAAATAAAACCGACCTTGATTGGTTTTAGTGGAGAATAAGGCTCAATGTTGCGTCTTGTTCTCATAAAAACTGGGAATGCGCCAATTCCTACCATGAAAATTCGCCAAATAGAATATTAAACCGGTTTTTTTGAATTCAACTCTTTGGAAAATAAGATGCAGCTTTAATCCGAAAGCTCAAGCCGTAAATAAGGTCCAACGACAGCTTAGACCCGAGCCGTATTACCCCGAATTTTTTAAATCGCGGACTCCGGAAAGGATGATCAAAAATTTCCAAAATTAGCCTCCAACAAAATTCAATTTTAGTTAAATTTTAAAAATCGATTTTTTTTTATAAAATCCGCGAACTTTTTATGTTTTTTTTTAAACAATGTATACAAAGAGAAAATGTTCACTATCGAAATAAAAGATGGGCGCAATTCAACAATTACGCTGCAATGCTTAGGATCTGGTTGCGTATCCAAGAAGCAATAATCCAAAACCAGCTAATTAAACTTGTGCTCTCAAAATACAAATTTCATCCCTTTGCTACAGAGAGATTATCAAAAACGTCCTAATCACTTAATTGTTTATTAAATTCTAGAATATAAGTTTGCGAAAAAATAAAAAATATAGAGGAAATTTTCCTGGCCTTCTTTTCAGGGCGGGTCCATGATCCGGATACAAATAATCCTTAGAACTGATTACAAGAGAAGACGGTTTAAAAATGTATCAAGATGTACACTAAATGTAAGACCTCCTAAACCTATTGTTACAAAACTTGCAGGAACATGGAATAAATGTTCTTTAGATCCGCATCAAAATAAAATGGATCCTAAGCATTGATAAATACAAAATACTTTGGAATGTATGACAGTTTAGATTCTGAATTTCAGATCAAGATGCTCTGAAGCTTCAAAATAATATTAATACCTTGTTTTTAGCTCTACCCCTTAATGCTTTCATCGGGGACTGGTCAGGTTGCCTAGGTGGTTGAGAAGCAAGTAAACTGGTTTTTAAAATACTCTTGGTAGCTTTTCTTTTATCTTTGACAGGAGAATCTGACGCAGCTCGAACCCTAAAATAAAGAACTTTTTTAGTTTGAATATAAACCTGCAGTATTAAAGTAGATCAATAACTCATTTTTTGGTTTGTAATGAAGATATCCACTCCAGAATTCGGATTCAAACATTTTGCATAATTCATAGTTATTACAATTAGGTTATATTCTGTCTATGTCTAACATAAAACCCTTTCTTCTCAAAATTGAACTTATTAATTTTTTACTAATATATTGAGTCTGAATGTCATCAACCCCCGGCCAATGTCAATTAATCTATGTAATACTTTAATTAAATAAATATTTAAATATCATATATGTATGATGAAGGTTAAGGAGTTCGAAAGTTCAAGCTAGGTTTACAAACAAAATTTACCTTTCGTTCGATTTGCTCGTCACTTTCAGCAAAGAATCTTCACTATTCCCGCTCTTCTTACTTACCGTATGATCAGGAACATTTTTATTTGCATTTTCTAAATGGGTTTTCTTCAAGTGTATCTTTAACATATTAAACTGAGGTGTCATAAAATCACAAAACTCACAGTTGTAATTTTTCTTCTTATTGACAACAGAAACACTTGTATAGTTTTTAGCTCTTAGTTGAGTAAAGTCAAGAATTGACATGGTTCGTTCAAGAGGATTTGGGACAGGTTCAGGTCCAACCTTGGCCATAACAACATCCGTTCTTTGTTTCTGAGTTGATGAATTCTGGTTTACCCTGACACCACGGCTCCGAGCTCGTCGTTCAGTTCTAGAACTCTCCTCAGCTTCTATTAATTCATCCTGAGATACATTCTTACTCGTCTCTGGGACCAGCGGCACCAGAGATGAATTGGCGGCTAGAACAAAAGGTATATGGTCAGGGGTGAAAGGTGAAAAGATCAAGGTCAATAGGTAATAAGGTTTGGGCCATAAGGTAAAAATTCAGGGTTAATAGGTAAAAAGGTTTTAGATGAAAATATATTAAGGTAGAAAGTTCAAGGTATAAAGTTCAAGGGTAAAAGTTCAAGGGTAAATATCAAGGGTAAAAGGTCAATGTAAGATGTCAATGTAAGATGTCAATGTAAGATGTCAATGTAAGATGTCAATGTAAGATGTCAATGTAAGATGTCAATGTAAGATGTCAATGTAAAAGAATAAGATTACTAGAGCAAGGTTTAAGGTCAAAAGATCAAGGTTATCAGAATAAAAACGTCCAAAAGGCAGGATCAAAATACTTGTTTTAAAAGAACAAGGTTTACAAGGTCTAAAGGTCAAGGTTAGAAGCTGGACAGCTCATAAGGTCGAGGTGAGAAGATCAAATGTCCAAAGTTAAAGGATTAATGGTCAAAATCGCAAGATTCGAGTCATGGCTAAATAAAAGTAAATCTATGGATTAAACAATACCTGGCTTGAAATGAGAAGGATTGAGAAAATGGCTCATATTTCCAGGCAGTGTTATTGCAGATATGTTTGCAAGTGCCCCGGACACTAAAACAAGAAAACTTAACAGTTTTACAGATATCAAATTTAAGATTGAAGGTTTAGGAAAAACGCATTAATTGTCAAGGAGCAGCAAACCACAGTTCTCAAGTTTACTTCTTCTTCTCCAAAGCCTGAGGCTATTTACAAAAAGTACAATGAGAAATTGAAGCTTGAGTATTGGTATACTTTCAGATGATACTAATCCATAACTTTTATGATGCTACAAATTCATTTAATTCTTTTCGGAAATCATTAACCATGCTGCAAACTAGATCAATGAAATACAGATTAAGCCCTCTTATAACTAATAGTTTCCGGTTTCTGTACCAAGTTCTGGCGTAGCAAATAAGTTTTATTTTATGCATAAAATCGGAACTCTAAAGTTTTCTAAATTTTTAAAAAAAAAAAATTTAATCCGGATCATGATCTAACTTATGCAAAAGCTTATTACAGTATTTAAATCATTTGACGTTGAAAGTGAAGTGTTAAAAAAGGGGATGGTGGAGTTGGCACATTTGATGTAGGGGGGGGGGGGGCCCGCCTTCATTTTTGGTTC